GATACGCGATGTGCGCATACACGGGGCATGAACACTTATCAACGTTCTAGTTCGGTCTGGGAGAATATCTCAAAGAATATGAACATGTACTGATGGAGCATAAGTAAAGCTAGTGTCAAAGGCGTTGTATGCATGTGGTATATTTTTTCAATGAAATCGTTTAGTCAGGAAATCAAAACAAAACGCGAGGCGTAAAGGGAACGTTTGTAAATAGCAGGGGGAGGTATTGCATTTTCGCACATACTCTTCGCAGTTAAACTCAGACAGACAGCCGCCAGACATCCAGGAACGCGCTAGACGGCCATTTCATTCTACTGGAACGTTTCAGTAGCGCACAAGCTCCGGAAACTGCTGGATTCGAATCCACAACCTTACAGTTGCGAGCCCGTGACTTATGCCACTGAGCCATGGGCGACGGCAGCAGACCGACATGACTGATAGCTAACTGCGGTATAACACTATTTACCCTCCAAGTCTTGTGTGTTATGAGCATGCAGAGGACAAGGCTGGCCCGCAGAGTAAGAGAAGGATAAATAGAACATGTTTGAACAGTTAAAATGTCGGTAACACTTTGCAATTGCTCAAGTTGGACTGTTGCAGATTTTGTGTTGATCACTGATGTACCATATCTAACACACATTGAAGCAAATTCTGATCTTCATCCGCCTAAATTCTGCGCCATATATTGGTATCGTCAGCAAACAGAAAGAAATTTGAAGGGCTTTTCTATGCATCGGCAACGATGGATTTCATTAATTTGACTGTACATAGAAAAGAGATACGGCGCAGTAGTTTGAGGGCCCAGTCCTGCTTCCACCTTTGGGCATCTGAGTTATTATTCTGTTTCCATATCGTGGGTACCTATTTTTGGTTAAAGCGACGCAGAACGAATTGAACCAGGGGTTCTGCCAGTTACCTTACTGTTGCTCCCGTTGCCTCTGGGAGAATAATGTCGACTCCCGGGGAGCTGCGGTTGCGCAGATATATCAACTTCTGCGGTAAAGCTTCGGCTTCCTAGTGAGTCTTGGAAGCGCGAAAGCTAAAGCTGAAAGTTCAACTGATGGTAATCCCTCAGAAATATGGGAGCATATTGCGTCCTCAGAGCGTTTGATGCTTCCGTAACTGCACCAGACTGGCCCTTGAACCACCGACTGGCACCTGCAGTTTCGTACAGCAGTTACTAGTTTAAATTTCACCGGTCAGCTCCGTAGCACAGATAACAAGTGCTTGTTGTGCGATAGATCGACGATATACATGCCGCATGAGTTACCTGCTGAATAGTCAGACAGAACATGACATCCAGCTGTCTTCGTTCAAGTTCGAAACTTGCAGCATGGAACCATGCGTTGTACTGATGCATAATAAGGCGAATACACTGCTGTCTAGACTTGAAACTTTGTGGCACTCGCTTGATTTCCGTGAGCCATAGAAATGCAGATCAGAAGATGGATATATTGTGCAGCCGGGCAAGGGATCGAAGTTGTATGGAACTCATTCTCATAGAAATGAGACTGATATACCTGCGAGGTAGTTGAGGATAAGCATTAATTCGGGCACTGTAAGATTCATCTGTGATCTCTGATGCATGTTTAAAGCCAGCTGATGCTTATGTACGCGTTGCTATAGTCGGAAGTATCCCCGATACGTTGGGCCCAATCATTTGTTCATTGATTCAAAGCAGCACACATGCAGCGCTAATGCCCAGCTTCTCGATTTGCAAATAAAACGAAAGACGAGTATCAAAATGTACATAGGTTACCAAACATTGAAGAAAGTCTGAACAGCCCAATTTCTTCTCATTGGCCTTCATTGTCGAATGAGCTTAAATCCACATGTGAAGCACAGTAGGTATACTTATGCTGTGCGTATTATTTTAGTCGGAAGGAACTACATTTTCAAGGTGGATACTTACTGGAGGTGCATGTTTAGTGACTATGCTTGGTCACCAGCTTTCGTGTCTCTACCGGTTGTTTATTGACGCTTGTTTGAACACATCATTTATGTGATTTGGTTGGTCAGTATAGGACGTTTGATTGTCTGCGTATATTTGTAATTTCAAATGGATGTCTGCACGGTGGTATGTATGTTAGAGTGCAGCCGAGTGCACAGACGTCGGATGACTTTGCAGTTGTCTCTGGTGTGAAGCAGGGCTGTCTTAGCTATTGCCCTGTTTAATATTTAACTTCATATATTGGTGTCTTGTGCTTTTGTTGCGGCTTGTGCTTACGGTGTTCGTGTGGAGAACCGTCTTGATGGTGGGTTGCGGAACATCCGTCGTTTCGGTGCGAGAACCCTAGTCTGTGAGATAACTCCCCGTACGTTGCTGTTCGCTGACGACTGTGCATTGTTTGCACACAGCGCGGATGAGTTGCAGCACATGACTAGTGCTCTGGCTTCGCCAGTGGCCAAATTCGGGCTCACCATCAACACCAGCAAAACTGTCTGTCTCCTTCAGCCTTCTCCGGAGGTGCAACCTGCAATATTGCCGCAAATCAGCATTGGTGACAAAGTATTGGAAATCACATCTCCCTTCTGCTACCTTTGGAGTGTGGTTTCGACTGACCAGCAAATGAACAGTGAGCTTCGTACCTGCGTATCAAAAGTAGCGGAAGCATTCGGGAAACTTGCATACCGAGTGTGGAACAACCATCAGCTTACCGTCGACACGAAGTTGATGATGTACAAATCCATGGTGCTGTCCGTTCTTCTATACGGCAGTGAAACGGGGACGATGTACCGGCGGCATGTGCGATATCTCGAGCGGTTCCATCAACAGTGTTTGTGACGGATTCTGCGCATTGGTTGGTGCGATAGAGTTGCGGACAAGGGGGTGTTGCACCGAACTGGAATGTATGCAGTGGACTGTATACTTTTGCTGAGACATTTTTGTTGGCCCGGTTGTGTGTGGCGTCTGGATTCAAAGTGGGTACCTAAGCAGCATTTTTATGGTCAGATGAGTGTGGGGAAGCGGCAGGTGGGGAGTCCGAAGCTTCATTGTCAGGACATGATCAAAGTGAGCTTATCACGTTCTAATATTGATTGCAGAATTTGGGAATCGTGGGCAGTTGATCGGCGTGCATGGCGCGATCTGATCACAAAGGCAGTTGCCGAGGTGCAAGAAAAATCCCTGGTGCATCCAGAGAAGAAGCGGCAGTTGGGGAAGCTACAGGTGCCGATAGGCTATACTCAGTCGACCTCGAGCGCATGGTGCTGTGGCACATGCGCTCGCGATTGGCTGGGTCAGGTAGGCGTAGTGAGCCACGAGTGAGGCCACTAGGGGCCAGCATTGAAACGACGACGTGTCCTGCAGAGAACGTAAGCAGAACCGACGCAGCGTTTGTAGGTACGTTGCATTCGATTTACTAACCGCGTGCTTGAGCAATGAGTTTCGTTATTTCGGGTGGTGGATTTACTGTCGTGTCTCAATTCATTTTTTACCTCCTCTTAACGGTTACCTGAATAATCTTCAATTAACTTGCACAAATCGCTTAAGCTAATTGTGGTCAAGTTCGATAACATCATTGCGTTTGTGACATTATTTAAAATGTATTCTCTGACATCTTGCACTTATCGCGGATTTGTTGAGAACCAATTTATTACATCTGTTCGTTTAGCGTAGATTTTTGTCAGCATTTCCATATGCTTTATTCGATATATATTATTTTTTATTCTCATTTCAAATGGTTGGCCGTTGCTTGACATCCCCGGTGTGGCTGTGCTTGATGTGCATGTTGACAAGGTGCCTACCTTTCTATTACGCACTACCTCGTCTATACTGGCTCCAGACAGTTGTTCGTTACAGATTGGGACGAAGCGCACGATCCTCGTGGTCGTGCTACGGTGGAAGAGTGGTTTCATGAACTCGTTTTGTGCCGACTACGGTCCAGCCACTGCCTTGTGTGTGCTTGTTTCCCCAATTACAGCTGGCTCGTGTTTGTCTGTGAAGGAGTGTGGATCGGCTGCAGTGATGAAACGTGGCTCCCATCCACATTCCTCCTGGTCTTATTACTTCGGGTTTACACTGGATATGGGGTGTATAGATGGAGCTGCGAGTACTGCAGCACAAACTATCCATAATCCCTCTGTATTCGCATTCGTCCTGTGGCTGTCATATGGAGACCACAGTGACAGACAAATCCGGAGTCGGATGCCGCCAACCATCCGACGTTTGCAATGGATCTATTCTCAGGGTCTCATTTCTATTAATACCGTTTTCTCTAGCAAGCTTTACTGATTCTTGCTTTAAGTATGTCGCATTCGCCTTTATTATTACGTTTATTAACTTTGCCACAGCTACTACTGTGCCGCATTTAAGTGCAGCAGATTTTTCATGTATACTATCCGCTCTTGGCTCGTCTGCGTTCTCTCTGCGGTCGTGGGATGCGAACATCCGGCCGCGATACAACGACTTTCTAGCCTACTTTATATCAAACTGTAGTATAGATTCACAAGACTTATGATCACCAACCGCACGATGTTGCTGATATTTAAGTGCCTGCGTTGAGGCTTTAGGGATTAGTCTATAACAGGTGAATTTCCTTCAGCTTAGGTTCTTCGAAGCTATGGCAAACTTCGGATAAAGCCAGCTCTGTTTGTTCTACAAATATGTGTGTGTTAGTCTACCATAATGATAGCGATGAACTTTCCTTCTTCGATTTGCATCTCAACATTGATTGCTCACATTCATCTCTCGGTATTTTATTGCATATCGGTTGTTTGTGCTGTTTTTAATAACACTGAGATAATCCAAAGTGTGTACATCTATCAGCATTCATTACCTAGCGATGAATTCCAAGATGCATTCAAAACCGTCGCATTAGTGTCAGACTTTTGGAAATCGGTACCACCGCAATTCACCAGTACCCAGCTTAACTTGATACATAATGACAACTATACACGCACGTTGCTGACACTTTATTAAGAGGCTTTTGAATATATACAAGTAAAATTATGTTTTCCAGGGGTGCCAGCGGGAACAATCGTAGTGACCAGTCAACCACTGAACACAAATTTCGAGCCATTCTACGAATTGGTACGTTGAGAGAAACTATGGGTAATCAGGTATGCATATGTGTCTATTGCGTCAAACATTTCAAGAACAAGATTATTTCGAATCTATCAAAATCCTTGGTAATATCAACAATCAATGTAATTATGACAGCTTTCACCAACCGTTCAACAATCCTTATGTAATTTGAAAATGCACTACTTCCTTTCTATCTAGCATAAATTCATCACTCATTCTAGTACAAGCTGCGCCGTGAAAAAGCAATAAGCTGAGCTTCAGTCACCACTAGACAAATTGTTCCACTCACGAACCGAAAATTTTTTATTTGTTTCTTCTACAGCACTCCAGGTAATACTACTAATGTTACCTAAACACAAAATAACCAAAGAGAAACATATTGCAGATGTACTTGCATATAAAAAATTAAAGTGATTACTTTCTTTGTGGTCAGCACATACTTGGAAAACCAGTATACCGTGTGGCCGAAGTTGATGAGACAGTCACAGAAGATTTGTATGAGGCGGCCAAATCATTACCGGAAAACATTCTTGTTGTCAAAGGAAAAACAGTCACTTGCAACGACTTCTATGAAGGTACAGTTAGCAGTTCATGCCATGTTTATTTTGAATGTTCATGACTTCGTTTTACGGGGCACGTTTCGTCCGACACAAAAAGGTTTTTCGCAATATCGCGTGATTTCATATGTATACTAAGGGGCTAGCTTGTCAATAAGCTATCATAGTCTGAATTTTACTAGTAACTATCCACTGATGCTATCGTCTCTCTCGAATATCTACCCAATTTGTCATAAATGATGTTAACCTGGCCTGAAGAAGCCAGTGGCCCAAAAGCAAAACGTGGCCGAAATGTAAACTAACACAAAACCGATCCCCATTCTAACCTTCCATTCTCATGATTGCTGAACAGTTTTAAGGTTATTCCGAGAAATTAAACGGCCTTTCCGTATCCATGTCACTGCAACGCTTAGTATTTGACTGTTACTTTAGAACGCTATAACTTTCGATATCCAACCCTGGTAACATTGCGCTGACCTCAATAATTCCTGATAACCATCGGGACGTTGTTTACTAACTGACTGGCCGTTATAAGCGCACTGTTCCCTTTAAGTGACAGCGGGGGTGTGTGTGGGGGAGCCAAGTTCAAAAATACTACCGTTCATTTAACGTCCCAATGATAATCATTTGTCGTAAAAAGCAAATGCTTACGAAATATCACTTCCAAATCCCCTGTTACTCCAACATTTCTCTGAGTAATCAAGCAACCGAAGCGTTGCAGTTAGAAAAGTTGTATCACGAACCACTCACCAGTTGAACTCGCAACGTGAGTCTCATCTGTTGTCAAATAACATCTCAAGGCGCCCGATACCAATTCCATGGTGGGATTGTTCAAACGCTGCAAATGTAAACTATTTAAAACAACAGGTTCGTGATAATCATACTTAACTGGCTGTTAGCTTTAAATACGACAAAACCACTTTACCTTAATATTTTCTATTCGTGATAAGTATAATTTGCAGTGTTAAGAATGATTCCGGTCAGTAATTACACCTACACAATCCCCGTCTGGGAATTACCTAAGTAATATATTAAACAGCAATCGTGGCCACATGCACGTGTTCAGTGCAGTAAATCATTGCCAGTTTTATAGTTAACATATTAACGCGTTTACACTACTTGTGCTTGGTTATAACCAGAACAAGCCCGACTTGATGGAGCGTTTTGCAGCTATACAGAAGAAGAGAAGCTGGCTTACCTTCGGAAGGCCTACACAGTCGGAGTGAGAAACTTCGAAATGGAATGCACCTGTATTGCTGCGCTCTGTCGTAAAGCCAATATCCGAGGTGAGTTTTTCTGAATGTATTGGGCATCAGAACCACAAAATCAATCATCTCCAATAAGTTTTCATCGTAATTTTGAACCATTGATAGGTTCGACGACACACTAACGGACAAAAGCTTAAACTTAAGTATCTAGAAATACTGGGAGTTCAGCTTGGTTATCTGGTTAATGAGCGGTCTATCAAACTGAGTGAACCGATCTCCGGATTTCCAAGTCTCCAACATCAGTAACCGACCCACCAACTCGTCTGATATTACAGCGGTTGGTGCTGGTGTTTGAAGCTTAACTACTCTACCATGTGAATTGTTCAAACAAACGGGAAGCATCGTTCGTTAATTAATACATCCAGTGGGATATTGGTGGTGCCGCCTTGAGGATCAATTTCATAGGTGTTCACATGCACCTACACTATGAATTGGGGTAGTTTCAGTTCTCCACATTTTTTCGGTCTTCATGGTGACAACGTTGGTTTCGCCTAATAAGGGCGTATACCGCAACTTTTTTGTCACAGGCAGTTTGCCAGTCTGCCCGTTCAAGTGGTTTTATGCTTGCTTTGCCAAGCAGAATATAAGCGAAATGAAGTATGTTCAACTTCTCCAGTTTTTAGTGTCTAATATATGCAATGTCTTTCTTAAATCCACTACCGCTGTGTCAAGTTGTTCAGGGATCACAGTGGCTTAGTGATCAAGGCGTTAGCCGTTAACCACTAAGCCCCGAATACCTCCACCCAGCTCAGGTTATCTTCGCCTGATGTGTTCAAACCAGGAGGAAACCGGTCATGGTGTGTCACTGTTGGGAGAAGCAACACTGAAACCCCCCACTTCAGTTACGGTGTTTGTGATCGTAATGATCGGGGTCTTAATGAAAGTAAACAGAGGTCTCAATAGAGACTCAGTGTAGCAATTCAACCACACTGCTGGTACTTCAAATCCTACTTTGAATTCCTTACCGTTTGCCAACAGTTATGCACGGATCTTGATGGCGTAGTGATCAAGGCATCAGCTGTTAACCACTAGGCCTCGAGTTCTAACCTAACTCAGGCTATCTACATCTGACGAGTCCAAATGAACAATGAACAATGAATTTATACGGGTTAAAAAGCGTTGCTTTACAAGTCCCGTTGGATAGTTGCAGGGGATATCAACATAACAATAATGATGATAAGGATAGTAAAATAGTTAAAACGTTAAATATGAAAATAAGGTCTTATCGTTTGCTTCGCTGCAGTCCTACAATCCTCTTAGATTCACAGCATCCACAGTTAACAACAAATAATTCCATGGTAAACTCCAGGTATCGGTTGGAGACGTAGTGTTAAGTAACAAAGTGTAACTGGATGAGTACATCGTCCAACCGTCTTGTAAGTACTGTTAGTGTCGGTGCAGAGACGACCGATTCTGGGAGAGCATTACACGGGTGACAGACACGAAATTTCTGCGGCACTCCAGACGACTGTATTGTTCTGCGAGTTTTAATGAGTGGCCCCTCAGATTTGTATTGCTGCTGAGTTGCAGTAAAGGGCGGCACACATGATGTGAGTCTCGCAGAATCAAGTATGCCATAATCAGGTCGCCTTGTAGTCTGCGATAGCTTCCACTGAACAATTCCAGTTGTCGCAGCCTCTCCTGGTAGGAAAGATTGCGCATTCCAGTTATGTTCTTAGATGCCCGGCGTTGTGGCTGCTCCAGTGTATTAAGGTCGTGTTTCAGCCATGGATGCCAGGCTTGAATTGCGTATTCGACATGGGGGCGAACATACGCACTGAGCATTTGTCGAAATATGGAGTTGTTTAATTGTCCAAACGCCCCGCCTCAACAGCCCGACGTGTTGGTTTCCGGTCTTTGATGCCTTTTCGGATGGCCTGGAGCAACCCAAGTCATCTTGAACCAGGACACCCAAGTCACGTTCGACAGTTGATTGTTGCAGTACATCCGTTCCGAGTCGGTATGATGTCGGATGGAAAGCACCTTGCATTTACTGACGTTGAAATGCAAAAAGTTTTGGGTCGACCATTGATACACCGTATCTAAATCACTCTGAAGCACATGTTGGTCGGTGTTCGCCTGGATCCTGCGCCAGGGGACGAAATGGGTCGTGGTGTCAGTTTTGGACGGAGCAACATCGAAACACCTCCAATTCGGTTACGGTCTTTGTGATTGGAATGACCGAGATATACTTCAAAGTGAACTGAGGGCTCAATAATGATTGCGTATCGCCATCCAACCACACGACGAAAACACGAAACCCGGCTGTGAATTCGTTCCCATCCTTTTATGCTCGCCGTCTTAGCATCAGTAGACATAACGGTTCTAGTATAAGCGAGTGGGATTCTCTTGCTGAAACCACTTTTATCTTTTTACATCACCAACGTAAAAACTTTTTACGATTGCCTATCATTTATATGAATTTGAACAACAGAAAAGCGTAAAGCATGTGAGTTTGATCCATACTGAATGAAGCCTTAATATACTTGCTTGGGATTATTTTGTTAGTATTGTCAACAAAGCGTTCATTGTCACGGGAACAACCTCGAGGCAAATAATCCTCCTTAGACTTTGTGCAGACCGAAAAGTGCGTGATGTTTACCTCACAGCAAAGGCGAGTTGTGTTCATCTACTTAAGCGAATAAAAATACCACTGGTAACAAGCGGCATTAGGCGTTGTATTTGGCAAAAATAGCTCATGAATACTCTGTATACCGATGTTAAGGCTATACGTGTGCGAAATACCACCTCACTAACGTTCGGCTGCAGTTATTAGCACAATGTTTAAATGCTGAGTTTTTTAGGGAAACTCTAGTCATCCATGGGTTTAGGTAGATGTGCGACTGCGAGAAATAACTATTGCCCGAAAGTAAAGATGCGCACTAGTGCATCTGCGGGCGAAAATCCACAATCTTTCCCAAAGAAAACAAACAGTTAAAAAAATAAATTCTCTTAGGCCCTCTACCATTGTTCAGTCACCTTCCCATCAAGCATATTGTGAATCCGAAGTAAGACGCTCGGGTGCTTGTAGTCTCTAAGTGGAGGCACAACCCATTGCTCGTTTGGAATACCGCTCCTGTTCAGAAGCAAAATGCAACCATGATTTTGTATTTTTAAAACTATGCGTAAGCTGGACATTCCGACATGCTGTTAACACTCGAGTAAAATAATTGAATAACGCATGCCTTTGATTAATGCTCACCACTTCTATTGATGCGCTTTCTGTTTGCTTGTATTCTGCCTCAGCTGCGATTATTTGCGTGACCTTGGTAGACCGTCTGTCCTCCGACCAGGTCACCTGTCCACCAGACGAATATTCACGCTTTCAGATGCTACCGTGCAAGGTGGTGACAGAATTTCTGCGGAAGCACGGTGCTTTGTGCAATTGATCCCCAGTGCACCAACCTGTATTCACATTACGGCCTTCCCGGTAAAACTGCGGCGTGCCAATTCATACCGCGAGCACGAAAATGACGCGGAAAACAAGCGTTACCAAACCCATGCACTCACTCGGAATCTGCCGCAGAACTCGTTCACGTACCATAGAGACTTCTTTTTACAGATCGTTCATAAAATACCATTTCGCTTTCTGATGATGGGCTGTTTTAATTTCAGTTATAATGTTATACTGTACGGAATGAAGTTAAAAATTCTGGTGTCTTAGTAGGATCCATCCTGTGTACACTTTGGCTTAGTCTGTGGGTACGAAGCATAAAGTTACCACATTCTTGTAAGTACGCTAATCAAATAGTAAGCTAAATTTTTACTGTTAACGGAACGGGACTATGAGTTGTAGAGGTATAAAACAAACAAAATAAACCAATAGCTCAATGATTACTAAATGTGTACACTGTGGTCATTTATTTTCTGTTGCAAAGTTTATGATAATAGTTCTTCCCAAGGTTGCACTTCTTAACCAAATGGGTCATTGGTAGGAAATGGCCGAAACTGGAAGTACAATGAGTGGTGGTTGGCGTTATGATCATGGGGCAAATAAGGTCCGTGTGTAGCGCTTTGTATAGCGATTCGCACTTCAGTGTCTCGTGTCGGAATACTCTCCATGCGTTTGGATTACAGCACTTAAACATACGTATGGACAGTAATACATAGGTGGATAATCCGCGGAGGCACTTTAAAATACTTATCCACATAGGCAGAATAGTACTAAAAGTGTTGCAGGTTACATTTGGTCAGTCAGCGGAAGGAAGCACATTTATTTGTTATGGAGACCCAAGGTCCCCACAAAGATCAGAAGCTTAAACCACGGAAGAGGAGAGGACTCGATTCACACAAGTGTACATGTTTCCATTAGCCTTCCAATTCGTGAGACATTCACGTTTCCATTGGCCATTTGATCTCAGCAACATTCAGTCTTCCAGGTCAGCCTCCGCGTTTATCAACGTTCATTTTTCAACATTTTCCGTTGGCATATTTGCATGGTGCCAATTCAGTAGCTTTCATGGGTTACTAGCGCAAACCATTGGCGCCATCGAGGTATAAAATAAACGTTGGACTGCGCTGTAATCGCCTTGAGTCTAGCCGGTAAAATTTCCTACGCGAAAGGCCTATCTTTTTCTTGTTCTCTCGGGTTTGGGTAGCTGAGTGTGAAATTGCTTTCGGTCTAGAAGCCCCTTCAACTCGTGCGTTGTAACCGTATTACGCTTAAGTCTCACTGGTCGTACAACTTTGAATTTTGTTGGATATTTTGTCTTGCATGAAATAGTTCTAAGCCACATTCGTTCGGTCGATTAGTTGATACCAGATCGTCAGAGCGTGGCGTAACCAAGAGGCAGTTATAATACCTTCGCTATCGAATAAGTGTTCAACAGCACTAGGTGACGGAGAAAAACAGCATCCACTCTGATCGGCTAGCTAGTGACGCGAATTGCCTTACTGAACTGCAATCGTCCGATAGCAGAAATTTGTTAATGTCACAGAACCACGAAAGATGATACGATGACCGCGCCTACGCGATAAACTGGTGTATGAGATTTATAAGATTAGGGGTAGTACACATGTCAGCCAATGCGAAAGCATAGTGACAAATGGGCATAAGTGAAGTGGCGCATTTTACATCTTTTAGCGAATTATTGTAGTAGTGTGCGCACTGTAAATTTGTCGCTTTTTTTCCGGAATGGTCACTTTACACTCGGATGTTTGCTTCCTGCTGCGACAGTATTTTTTGATGCACTTACACAACAATATTCTTGTTGTGGTCATGTCATTGCTTCCCAGAAAGTAACTTCAACGTTAGCTCATGATAAGCCCACCGTGATCATGGAATGACAAATTACCTTCAGTTTGCTTGTGTATCCCTTTGCTGAACACAGTTGGCTATGTAACAGGCACATACGTATCCTAGGCACATCCACAATACGTACAGCTTCGAGCTACCAAACATTTCCCAAGATCAGCAAGCAATTCATTCCGCATGCGCTGCTTCTGCAAAGCACTTCTATGCAGTAAACTCCAACAGACCGACGAATGCGCAGTAGCCAACGAAAGCTATGTTGATGAAAAAATCGCTGCAACGATCAGGCATTCTTCCGGTAGAGCGTTCTTGTCTCGCTGCCTTAGATAAATACCAACAGTATCATTTACTTGTATACCATCAACTTAGCTCTGATGTCAGCAGATAATACCTGCACATCTGATGTCCCTGTTTACCAAAAGCCGCACTCACCTTCGATGCGCTAGTGCGCAGCTTGCTTGTCATCCGCATGTGTGTTAACAGCATGTTCGAGGTGGAAGCACCTCCAAAGTCTCATCAACTATCTTGCCTTGTGTATATGTAAAGGACTCCGTGCCTAGTGGTGGTTGAAAATAGGTAGAAAAATTTACCAGTGTTGATAGTGAGTCCGCACTTGGCCACAGTCGAAGCGACAGCCGTCATCATGCGCTGCAACTCATCCTCACTGTGTGCAATCAACCAGCGCTCCGTTGCAAACAGCAACCTACCGATGATTGTCAAATATACTAGGATCCCCTCCCCGAAACAATGGATGCCGAGCAACACACCATCGATGCAGCACTCGAGATGCAAAACGTATTCGAAAGCACTGAAAGCCCACAATATCGTGACAGGAAGATGAGTATTAGAATACGACGTAAGACGCGAAGTTACTTCGCACCAGAGATAACATCTAAGTCATTCCAGTCTGGTCCACACAGTCGCATTCTCAATCACATACCACTGTGAAGGTATCCAACCAGGTAACTATGTTTTTCAGGATGTCTAAACTAACCGGACACTACCCAGAACGCTTCCCAACAACATAGCGCGAACACCGGCAGTGTAAACCCCACACTTTACCCAGAATGAAACGCCCCGACAATGCTACAAAGGCCTCAGATTGTCGAAAGCATGTCAAACTTTGGCAGTACGTAGAGAAATCTACATTCCAGTAGTGCCAGCAGCAAACACGCTGCTTCAAAGGAAAACAAATCGATCCGCTAGTTCAAGTTCTGCACCTCCAAGAACAAGAAACGGGACAGGTGAGGGCTAATTTCTCAACGCGATGTTACATTTTGTAAGAGCAAGATTCATGCAAGCCATGTTTGCCTCAATCACCGAGCGGTTTGAATTAAGCCACATACTCTGAGCGGTCCACACCGAGCAAGACGACATCATCAGCTTAGTCAATGTCGCTCTCGTAGTTGCCCGGAAAAACTGTACGCTGGAACCCTAGAGCTCTCAAGAGTACTCAACAGGACACCATCAATCGCAAAACGGAAGAGAAAGAGTGACATGGAATATCAGTGTTGTACACCACTCGTGACGAAGACAGCTGAAGAAAAACTTGCCTTAAGCTTTCACTCTAGCTATGACATTAAACCATAAGGTTGGATAGATGGTAGTATACATTTCGAGCACCCAATGCTTTGTAAGCTGACTGACCGACTCGAAGGCAGCGCGGATGTCCAGAAAGGGACAATGGTACACTGGCGGTATAGTTGACGCTAATCAAGGAGTTAGTGGGGTAATCATACGACTCAGGCACCATTGACTGGGGCGGAACTCAGCCTATTCTTTACCAGAGTATAGTGTTTTACTCAGTGTTACTTTGCAGAGTAGAATGGAAGGTGGCATTTTGGAGGCGACTAACATTATACTGATGCATTTGTGATTGACACGTAGTAGACAAGCACCCTTCTTGAAAATCGGGACCCTAATCGACTCGCCCCATGAAGGTGAAACCTGTTCTTCACACAAACTCCAGATGAACAGAGCAGATAACTGGTTGAAAATGGCTTCTCGACTGCACTTGAATAACTCCCGAGGTGCTCTTTTTGTTTAAGCGGATCTGAATCACTTCAGCTAATGGAACTAAAGCCAGACCGATTTGGTGGGTGGTTCCAGTGAAAAACTCCAAGACGCGTAATCATACCTATTTGCTAGATAGGCGGACAGGAGAGGCCAACTGAAATTAGATTGTAAGTGTTCAGCCAGTTTTCCATACGCATCCACAACTTGGTGAGCAATGATATATCAAACAGTTAAATGGCTTCAATGACCTCACGACTTCTGTGGCTAGTGATCCAAAGGAGCTATAGGAGATTGCAAAGGTTTCCACTGACAGTGGCGCTTTTCATCTAAAACGCACTGAGATCGCCGAGTTTAGCAACTAATATGCATATTTTACTTGAGTTGCTGACTGAGATTTCGGCGGACATAAGTATTACTCAGTAAGCTAGCGAACGGAAAATTATTAGCGTTGATCCCAGTTCTGTCCGGTGATGCATGATCAATAATAGGTGCTTATCTATGGAGCAAGCTGGCGGCCTGCGCAAGCACGGATCTTAAGTGGGGCAGGGATGCTTATCAATTTCACGTTGACCCCACCTTGGCACGTGTTCCTTTATTCGGGAATACAGAGACCGATTGGTTCTGCCTAGGTTACTGGCTCCGAGTAGCAGAGATTAAATGTTTCGTGGTTTTCAACCCACAGTTAATTCACCCGTGAAAGGCAACTCGATATAGATCATTTTCTTGGCTACTGTATGCACCAAGTCATCTAAGACCTGCTGTTGGCTGTGTTTCTCCATGAATATGCGCGGCAAACCATTCTCCATGAATGTTGTCTTAATTAACTCTAACAGGTCGGCCAGACAACCGGCCGAGCAAATTCGTCTAGCACGACTAATGAAAGCTTTCAAAAGGGTCCGTTTGTACCGCACTGGTGTGAAGCTGGTGAAGTGCAGGTTTTGTCCGGACCATGTTACCTTCCTGTAGGCAGATCAACTAATGAGTCCGACAGCCATGCGATGGATAAAGAGTTTCCAGGATGGCATACTGTTCTTCTTTTCTACTTCGCAGGTGACCAAAATGTTTGCATGTGCAGTGTTTAGTTGCTGAACCAACTGGACAATCTGCTGCTCCGACGAACAAAAGGCCAATATGTCATCCACATAACGCTTGTAGTATGGTAACCTGGCTATTTCTGTAGATATGCAATTTCTATAATTAGCATGAAGAAATCGGCTAGTACAGAGCCTAGTGGGCTACTCATTGCAACCCCATCGATTTGACGGTATGGTGTGTTCTGAAAGTGTAAGTCAACATTTGCTGCACACTAAAGCAAGGATTGCTTTAAAGATTCAACTGGAACTGGTAACGAATAATTGGATTGCTCAGCTAGTTCACATATG